GGGTTTTGATGACCTGAAAATATTTTAAAAAATGACCTATAAAATGACCGAAAAAATCCAGAGAAGACCTAAAATATGACTCAAAAATATAATATGCAGGGCTCGGATTCTGATGACCTGAAAATGTTTAAAAATGACATAAAATGACTGATAAAATCCAGAAAAAATGACCTAAAGGAGGAAAGAAAGAACACTTCGCTTCCATGTTATTCACATTTCAGAAAATATATGAAGAAAAATTCCCTAAAATGGCCGAAAATGACGAGAAATACCCTTAAAAGCCCAAATGTTTACCAAAAATGACCCCAAAAATGAAAAAATAACCTTAAACCAAGAAATGACAAAAAAATTACCTATAAAATTTACATTTCTGTAACTAGCAGCTCATATCCGAGATATATATATATATTTCAGAACATCGCATAGGATACAAAGGAAAAAAATATGACATGTCATCAAAATCCGGGCCCTGCTATAACCTGATATAGTGAGCGAGACCAGCGACCCCATCATTCCTGGAAGCATTTACAGAAATCTCATATTCTGAAATACGCGAGATTAAACAGTATGCGTCTTCATGAAGTATCTTCGTCCTGAGTATTAACTTGAGGTTACAAAGGAACCTTCTGGAACTAGATATTGGGAGTGCGATAGATAGGGGAAAAATGCTTTTCCACTGCAAGAATCAAAAAGTTAATGCTACGTGAATCTTTCCCGTATAATAAACAAACATTAAATTCAAGTCCAACTACTCACTGTTAGCTGATAATTATTCACATTTGAGAGAAGACAGAATTGTGCAGAATGGCTGTATACTAAGCGCCATATTTTACAGGATGGTTTCTTGATACTAAAATAGTTTTAGGAAGTTCATATGGACATGTACCCTGAGGGCTTTCCTTAAAATATTGTAGGTAGTAGTATGCCCGCTCCTGATGTCGCATTCAGAAAGACAGACGTTTCGAGAGAATTCTGTTTATATTGTGCGTTGATCGTAGAGATGTATTCGAGGCCTCATAACTCTTCACATTGAGTTAGTCGCTGCGACTGCCTTAATTTTTATCTAAAACACTTACGTATGTGGACTACGGGAAGATGCATCCTTCAATACGCGTCTTCACATGCAATTTCAAGCTCCGCCGCATTACAGATGTGAAATGCGTCAATGGCTGTCCAAATATTATCCTGGACATTGGATTGGTCGCAGTCTTGAAGCTCCTTGTTTCCTGGCCTGCACGCTCACCTGACTGGACTCCTCTGGATGTTCCTTATGGGAATAGTATTTGGAAGCTGAGTTCTGTATCAGTACAACAGATACCGGAGAGTTCCTTTTCACGCAGAGCTGAGTTGTGTGTTCCAGTTCATCATTCATATTCACCTTACCACTTGGCATTGTATAACGCTATAAAGTTGTCAGACAAGCCATGGAACTGATGTTGAACAGGAATACGTCAGGTTAATTTTGGGTAAATTTTGTTAACTTGCTACATCAATGATTTTATTATGTTTTATAACACAAAGAAATAATTATGCAGAATGTTGCGGACCAATTTTGAAATTGGAAATTTAAGGCATTGCCTTAAAGTTTCGAGACTTGCGAAAAGTGTTTTACAGCTATTACATTAATATGTCAACACCTGGGCAGGAACTAGGTTAAGAATATTGATGATCAGCATTTATGCGTAATCGCATAAGTAAGAAGCTTCGCTAACTGGGCCACTGGAGTATCGTAATATTACCGCATAAGCAGCAGAGAGGACCACGGGCCCACCCACAACCACACGGAATAGCCAATTAGAATATAACTTTGGAAATTGAGGACCCTCCCTCTTTCGTCAACCGCCGATTCAGCAAATTAAAGATATAAATTACTGAATTTAGAAGCCTTGGGATCTGATCTCAAAGATAATATTCAGTTGTCAGCCGGAGGCTCTCTTCAATATGGGCCTGACGAGCGGAGGCAGTGGGCCTGCATCTTTTTATTCCAAGTAAGTCACGTTTACTCATATAAGCCATGTTGTTAAATAAAATTGTGGATAAAAGCGTGTGGAAAATATCGATAGCAAACTCCAGTGTGCTCGGCGAGCCCTTAGGGGAGAGTAATAATTATGTAACAAGTGATTGCCGAGGAAGATAGTCCGGCAATATGTCTGTGTATGGTGTATGTGTTAGGATTACTAGTAGTGTATCATGAATAGTAGGGAAACAGGATCGCATTGCACGATTAATGATTGCCTATAGTCAGGAGTCGAATCAGAGAGAGAGAGAGAGACTCCAGTTTTACACCCCCGAAGGGGAGGTTCCTAGCGTAGCTTCAAGTAAATCCACTATGTAGTCCCGACTGAAAGTCGGCCTTGTAAATAATGTAAATAAGAGTGTAAATAGACCAGTGTACATAGAGTAGGATGTACGCAGGGAATTGTGATTCACCCCTCCATAATCACCTTTCCACAACCGATCCCGAGGGTCCTACCAAAGTGAAAGGCAACAGCAGCCGAATGCTTAAGGGGAGGTACTAGGAATGGACAGGGATAGGCACCTGCCACGCAGGCAGCGTTTAGTAGCCTTGGTATCAACGCCCCTTAAGAATCATAATAATGTAATACGTTGCTACCTGCAGACTATATGAGGAGTTGCCAGGAAGGGAGCTATGACAATATGTCAGGGGTTAGTTCCCACCATAGAGATGACAGACGATAGGTAGAGGCGGGTCAGACCCGGCACGCCCGCTCTACGCCGATAATAAGAGGTGACAAGGATGAAAGGGCCAGCCAACAGTGAACGCTCGACTACCGCGCTATCGGCCCTTAGTATTTTCACCTCTCTTAGAACATAAAATAGATGGTGGCAGCTTTAAGTAAGGAAGGAAGCCCCGAACTAGGAGAATCCTATCTGAGGGTAAGCTAGGATTATGGTGTTAACTCCTTACAGCGAAAGCTATGGTAGCAAGGAGGAGTACCTGCACGCCCCCCTGCACCACGGCGTTACAAGTGGTGGCAGCGGTGGGATACCTCCGCGCCCCCCTGCCACCACGGCGTAACACAGAATACGTACCAACGGGGGTTTTTTATTATAAAGAATAAAAATGGGCTTTACAAATTGTGAAAACGAAATAAATTGTGACCTTACTTATGCTTCTGTGGAGGAAAAAAGAAATATATTTTAGGAGATTTTTCAAACTATATGTTACATTTTTCCATAAGTACAAAATTCTAATGAAATAAAGGTTGTTATGATGTGTTCTTCGGTCAAAATACTTAGACAGTTATGATATAAATTATAATCACGTTAAGTGACATGCTGTAGTAACTCCTGATTATAAGTTCCAGACTTATCTAATATTTGTTTACGAAATCGTTAAATTCTTTGTTCCTTAAGATATATGCAGTAATCCGAGTTCGCCTGATTTATAGATAACCCATTTCACACCTTTGCTATGTTAGTTGCCATCATTACAGGCGTTTATGCTGTATGAATCTCTTGATACCACCAGCATCAACTCGTTGTCTCCAGCATTTCCTGAGGCACCCACGCTAAGAATGTCTTATTTATGTGTTAGATATTAGGAGTAGGAATGTAGTGCTCAACGTATTTTTCGATGCAACCCTACTAAACACGCTTAGCTATTTATGTATCAGCAGCAGAAGGAGTCCGTTGTCTGTGGATTTCCCAAGACACTTCCTCTAGAAAAGAGCCATATCCCCTGCGAACACTTGTACGTATATGTGTACTTCCAGATGTTCTCATTAAGAATATAGTGTTTATAAGTATAACTAGGAATCTGGGTCTCTGTGTTTCTCGACTCTCACTAAGAGTGGCGAGTGTGTTTATGCACTCTGTCGCTGTGAACTGTATGAGCTTTTCGAGGTTCTGTCAATAGGAATGTTGTGTTACATGTATTGTTATTACACCTTCACTAGGAATTCGGACTGTTTCTCGAAACACACTCACAAATAATGGGGTGTCCATGTTTATATCGAGGCACTATCTGTAGGAATGGTGTACTTACGTGCTTCTGGAAGTGTTCACAAAAATGGGACGTCTAAATAAGCATTATAAGTTGTAATGGTGCTAGAAGCATCTGACTCTATAATTCATTGTGGATTATTGGGACTTGGGTAAAGCTCTGTGTTAGAGGAATAAGCTGATCTATGAAAACGTCAGCCTGGATTATGTGCTTCAAGGCAAAAGCGATTTAAGAACAAGGAATCTCTGCATTTTCGTCAGTGAAATATATGGCCAGTTATCGTTGGTTCACGGTATTTTGTATTACTACACGCCGTTTTTCACACTCGGTAATACAAAGAGTTTGAATTTTTATTGTTTACTTCTTTTTTCGGTTATTGAAGAGTGCAGTAAATTCTCATTTTTAATCATGTGTTGCGTTTTATAGCTTCGATACATCTACCAAAATATACAATAAGATGTAAATCACACGATGTGCCTAAGTTTCTTGCAATAATATTTCTACGAAAATTGGTGGCTAACGCCCTGAATTCAATGCTTATGCTTCCTGCTTGAAACAGTTGAGTAATATCCCTTTGATGTTTTCCTTTTCAGAGTTGAAAAAAATGTTATGATCATGTTTTAGGGGTATCGTATGACTAATTTAAAAATTATTTAAAGATGCAGTTAAAAACAAAGGGCACCATCTTATGGTATTTACGATATATCTTTACACATCCAGTAACTCTTATTAATTCAACGACATGCTTATTTTTGTAAGTGAATTTGGTAAAAATAAATTATGTCACTTAATTTCAGTTATGGTTGCCATAGTTCACAACATATGAGTACTACACATGAGAGTGTACATATCGTACTTAGAGACACGTCTTGATTACGTGTAATACTGATAAGCCTATTCCGATAATTTTCTTATATTCTATGGACCAAAAGATTAAATAATCGTTGTATTTCCTTCCACCTTTCATAGCAAAACGTTATTTATAAAACTGACTTCAAGCAATAACAGTGGAGCCCCACACGAACAATTGTACTTTTGCTGGTTTAACTGGTGTTTTGTAAGGCTATTAGATACTCCAAACCATCCAGGACTCCACTCAACAAGGTTTCGCAACTCGAATATAAAACTTCTTCTACACTCTACATTAAAACGTAAATGTAGATTAAGCAGGGGGCATTTCTCTTCCCAGAGGCGATTAGTCAACTCCTTCATCTAATGTAGCCCGGTCGATGAATTATGCAGCTTCCGCCGTGTTCTTGAATGTAGACAAGAAATAGGAAATTCGCTACGTTTAGTCAGAGCCGCTGCAGTACTGCAATGACACACAAAGAATTACATATGAAAACTCTAATTTGTGTTCACTCTTAATGTAATTTAGAACTTATTTAATTTCGGCATAAAATGCTTATATTTCTAGTCATATTCAAGTAACAATTCTATCAAGTACAGCCCACTGTAAAAAAAATTACGTTATTCGCGGAATATTTTAACAATATAGATCATTCATGTAACATTGCTAACTAATAAAAAAGGCAATGTGTTTGCTTAGAGAGTTTTCTTTGGAAACAAGTCAGAAAACGAAGAAGCGAACTGCAGGGCACGCAGCTAACCACACAAAAATACGTATATAGCCTAAATTGGTAACAGCATGGGGAGAACTTTCCGAGAGGCAACATCCTAAACTGACACACACACACACACACACATTCTCATGACAAAAAGAGAAATACTCCTAAGTAAATATCTAGATGTAGGAAGAAAACCAAATTTAATTTCCTGCTCTAATAATGGGCTTGAAGGAAACCAACCCTTTTGATTAACGAGGAGGAGAAATTACTTTAAATTACTTGAAAACTTGACTACATTGTGACATTTTACATTCAACTGAAATATATACTGCGACTAGAGATAATCAAATTTTAATAAAGCAGAATAGATGTTGATGTATTGTTGTTGTATAGATCGTAAGTTGTTTGACGACACTCTATGAACTCCAGAGATTATTGACAAAGAATGGAAATAGAGGAAAGTTAATGAAAATTGACCTGGAAGATATAGGGGACTTCTTTCGTGACACTGTTAAGGTATTCGCCTACGGATACTGAGAAAACCAATGAAACCCTGATCATCATACCAGAGGCTTAATTTAGCTCGGGAACTTTCGAAATTAATGACAATTATGTTCTCATATTAAAATTATAATTTATAAATGGAATTTCAGCAGGAAATACTCAGTTACTGATACGTGCTCCTACCAATATTATTCAATTATACGGATTTGGCTTAACGATAGTTCACGTCTTTGCGCTTTAAAATTAAAATTTACCTGATACAAACTGCCATACTTGGAACGGAACTAAAATGTTGTATTAGGAATATGAAAAAAAAATCAGATTTCCCCATTACCATTTTTGCCGTGATCCATATAATATTTTGTAGGAACGACGGGACAGAGATGTTGAACATTTTGTTATCTCTGATCCTCTCCACTACGCTAAAATTGCCATTTCAAGTGGCACCATCAGAAACACGGTCGAAACTTTTCTAATATTTTTGTCTTAATATGTATGGAAGCCTTTGCTTACACTCTTAGATAAAAAATTCAATGACGTAATTCTGTATATTTTTTATCCGTTTTATATATGAAAGATTCAAAACTAATAGAACCAGCTTCAGTAAGAATAGTAAATTGTGTATCATACGTAAGATTGGCTACTTCTAATAGTGTTTGTGTATGCCTTTACATTTAAAGGCATTTCTCCATCTAATAACTTACGAGATTGTATAGACTAGGATGTTCCTGTGCACACAGATTAGAGAATACAACTCTGAGCACCTACATCTTCTTCAGCTTTAGTATGGACTGACTTACCTCTGAAATTTTATTGCTGATACATTCAAATATGTCGTAGGCCAAATCACATGATTGTTTCCCACCTGAAAATAGAAACTTTGTTAGTTGTCTATGGTCATCACAAAGATTTACCCGGTTCAAATTAAAAGATACCTCGAGATGACATACACAGTTCATATTCAGTGCCTACATATTTACTCATGGAGCTGAACCCTTCTTGAAGAACCGCCAATTCTGCAGCTACTCAAGAATTTTCCAGTACTTTATGGAACCCGAAGGTTCATTACCGTGTTCACAAGAGCCTTCCACTGGTTCCTATCCTGAACCAGATCAATCCAATCCATAACATCCCATCCTATCTCTCTTAAGATCCATTCTAATATTGTCCACCCACTTATGCCTTGGTCTTCCTTGTGGTCTCTTTCCTTCTGGATTTCCCACCAATATCCTATATCATTCCTCGTCTCCCCTATTCGTGCTACATGCCCTGCCCACCTCATCCTCTTTGATTTGATCATTCTAATTACTTGGAGAAAATTACAAGTTATGAAGTTCCTCATTATGCAGTTTTCTTCAACTTCAACTTCGTATTCTCAACGCCCTCTTCTCAAACACCCCAAGTCTATGTTCCTCCCTTAATGTCAGAGACCAAGTTTCACGCCCATACAGAACAACAGGCGAAATTATAGTTTTGTATATTCTAATTTTTTGTACGACCAGTTCATCTTCAGAATGGCAGAAAATTTAAAGTACAGTTAAACGATTCGTAAACATGTTTAAACACTTCATAAAATTTTAAGGTACAATTATTGTGTTTTTCGACACTATGCACCTTTCTGTTCTTTAATTAAAGCACAAGGTTTCAGGGACTGAATTCTGTCTCCATCCTTGGGTAAGAGCCTACAACTATGTCGATTGGGACCAACTGAGTAGGCTTTTGCTTGAGGACGGAGACAGAACCCAGTCTCCGAAATGTTGTACTTAAAATAAGAAACAGGATGACGCATAATAACCAAAAACATTAATTGTATTAATTTATCATCATAAATTTTAGATCAGATTTTAAGATAATTTGCTCACTTGGTTCCGATCGAAGGCGGTGCTGGTGTGCTAACTGGAGACATTGTTGACTTGCTTCATCTGTCGCGAGGTAGTAGCCATGCTCCCGTACTCCCTCGGCGTACAGACGAACTAAACCTTCCCGGGTTGGGAGGCCGGACTCATCGACCTATCGATACAAACACATAAGAATACGGCTATATTACTTTAAAGATATACGGCTCTGTATGTCCTGAGATGAAGCAGAATCTCACCAATGACCAGTGTTTGCAATCTGTGTATTGCCTACGCTTCACACTGGCAGGCTTTTTCTGCTATCAGCGTGCATTCAGTTTGAAGTAGCTTCCACTCTAATTAGTCTGTGGGAATGTTTTAAGCGGCATTTTAATCATGAACATGTGGAGATAATAAAGATAATGAAAATATTTTTCAAGTGGTTTAAGGTCAGACGGTTACAAAAATGCAATTTTTTTCCCCACAGCACACTTAGAATTCGCTCCTGGTTTCTTCACTACCCGTGCATTAAAGTCTCCACTCATGCTTTAGAAAATCATCTATATCAATTGAGTTTTATGAGATTGAAGTAAGTCATAAAATTCTATGATTTATTTCTCCATATTTCTCCAGGGTTATCTAGTTCTGCTGTATTTAAATATCCCTGGGGTGTATTAATTCTGAGGTCATTTCAGACTGTACTAACTGTGTATCTTCTTCCTTCTTTTCCGTTCCAGTAAACTTAATTTCTGATGATGTTCTTCCATTATAATAGAAGCCTGCTTAAATCATTATGTGTGTATATATATATATACACACACATAATTCGTGCATCCTGTTCTGCTTATTATATACAATTCTTTATTGGAATCCGTCGTAACACAACATAACGGTCAAGGTCAACCATTACCTTAGCTACATGTTTTGGCTTTTAAAGCCATCATCAGGCAAGTACATGGTTACCATATTCACACACACTATTGAACTGCAATGTCATTGTGACAGTAGAGCTGGATACTTGACTACTGTTACACTATAAAATACAAGGTATGAAATACAATATTCTCTCGTAGCTGTTTCGTGACTTTTAATCTTTTATTTGTTTTCGTGATTACAGCTACAACTGTTGTCATTTCTTCCAATTATTCTCTTATACCGTGACATTATGTACATTTCTTTTAACTGTAATGTAACTAGATTCAATCCCAGTTTTCTCATTGACAGAATTGCAGTAGTCTTGGCAGAATTCGTCCGGTCATTCAGATGAGTCTCAGTAATTGATGTTCCCTCGCCGCTTTAAGGGTTTCAGACAGTGTTGGGTCAATGATACGGTTGCCACCTCAAGACTTCTAGTCCAACTCATTTATAGTCCACCTCCCAAAATATCCACAGCTCCTTCCTATCGACTTTCCATGAAGTATCAGCTGAGAAAAATGCCAAGTAGGCGGTTGAAGTCTTCGCATGTGTTCCTGTTCAGGGGATCTCACTATACTCCGAGATACTAGTGCCTACTCCATCAAGGAGGATGAAGTGGGGGGTCATGTAACACGAATGGGGAGAAGATGAATGCATAGGATATGGGTGGGAAAGCCGGAAGGAAACTGACCACTGGGAAGACCAAGGCGTATGTGGGTGGACAATATTAAAATGGATCTTAGAGAGATAGGATGGGATGGTATGGATTGGATTGATCTTGCTCAGAATAGGAACCAGTGGTAATAATAATTTTTTGAGTAGCTGCATATTTGGTGACTCCCCAATAAGGGCTCAGCACCATAAGTAAGTAAATATTAGTGCCAAATCCTGGGGCTTGGACCCCCACCCAACACTTGGCGAGTTCTATCCAGGTACATCGCTGCTTTGCCTATCGCGTTCTGAATTAGTAACCTTGTATAGAACCAAGTCTAGAGCCATCTGTTTCGCTGTAGTCCACAATATCGTAATTCTTCAGCAAGAGGAGAGCTATTGTGAACATAGGCAATGTTGTATTTTTGTTAAATACACAAACACGGAAACTGCTCTGGAGAGGTTTGGAGTTCTCCCGACTATGGAAGATTGCTCTATTCTGGTATGTGGCCCTCTGTGATGCGATAAATTGTTACAGACATTTCTGGAGAATGTAATGCTTTCACATTCGGAGAGAGAAAACTATTCCTTCTATGACAATAGTACGTGTATTAACAAACTGTCACATGCGAGTGTTAAAATTCGTAAGAAATCTGTGCCAAGTCACAGTATCACAATAGCACAGACAGGCTCACTCAGCCGGAACTTATTCGGTCGTACTGTTTCTTTCGTCACTTCCGAGTTGGCCACATGGTAACAGCTGGATTTCCTGTTCTATATAATTACTTCTAGCAAATGTATTGTCACGCGTATGTGTGACTATAGACGGGGTTTGGATAGGTAATTGGATTTTTTTCACCAATTACCGATAGTAATTATAACAGTCTCACTGAATTACACGCTATAAATATCCTTGTAAATACAGCACACATAAAGTTTTCTTTGTCTTCACTAGACGTATCCTGGTAACGGATTTTAACATTGTCAGTGAAGTTAGTGCAAAATTTAGCGAATAGAGGGTGTCGCGTATTCAGCGCAACGGATCCCCACGGCCGTTAATTTCGGTTTTCTGGACTCCTCAATTATACAAACGAGGCTGAGTGGACCCCGTTTCAGACCCACTACTTCTCAGAATCTGGTAGCGCGGGGAATCGAACCCGGACCTCTGGATCTGTAGCCAGGAACTCTGACCACTGGACCACAGAGGCGGTAATATTTCACCACAGCCCCTCACCCCCAGTTACAATTCAACGGTTCGTGACATTATTCGTTCTTCGTTTCCCCTTACAGAATGGTTTTGATAAACCTAAACACTTCATTTTACCACATTTCGCGGCTTTTAGAAGTGTAACGGACAGAGAACCGAGGAACAAGGAGCGTAGTTAGAAAATGGTGCTGCCCTCCTGGCAGTGGGAAGGCGAAAGCATGTTACGAATTCCAGATGCTTGGAAAACAAAAGTGCTTGACAAATTGTCTCATGCGCCCTCTTCCCTAATTTTGCTTTAGGATGGTCAGAGTGGTTATGACATCTCTTCGACTTTCTTACCGGATAAAAACATAATTTTCACATTGTGAAAAATTAGGTTACTCATGATGGTAATAATTAGATTTTGAAATATAATTTTTTCGGGGAATTGCGCGTCAGAGAGGATACAGGTCATCAGAAAACCCACAGCTGTCCTACCGGTCCCTGAATTAGAAAAGGATGGAACTACTGCTTTGAACAAAGATAACAGTAAAAAAGTTCATGGATCGAGCTGTACATTCGACATCGCTGTCACAACGGTTGCTTCAGTCTCTCCACCTCTTGCGTAACACACATAATATTCATTAATTCCTATTACTTTCACTACACAGACCAGGTAATAGCTTGTACACTCTAACCAAATTGTCTGTTTCAAAATGTTACAGAGAATATTGCCGAAACTTGTCTCTTTCGACTGAGACGTTGCAGTGAAAGTTGGTACGCTACTATCTAATTCAAATATATATATATATATATATATATATATATTCTTTCTGACTCTTAACCCTGACTGCAGTGTTGGGCATGAGAGGAAGTAGTGTAGGTGAACTATCGTTATATTCCATAAGGAAAGTAATGATAACGTAAAATATAAACAAACAATAAACTCCATGGCCTTTAGTCTGAAAGTGAACTATACCGACCGAGCGCCCGCCGCTTGTCGGTGAAGTTAGTGCCAACTTTTGAGGATAGAGGGTGTCGCATGGTCAGCGTAACGGATCCCCACAGTCGTTAATCTCGGTTTCCTATACCGGAACGTAAAATAGAATGCACTGCAAATTTAATAGTTCACTCACTCACAACAGCCTGCTTCACAGAATTACACCTTCCTAATATTTATAAGCGAACTCGACCAAATACCGCAAATACGCAAGTGAAGCCGGAGCGGTTAGTTACTGGCTTCCCACCGCGGCAGCCCCGTTTCGGTTCAGGGTCTGGTCAAGTGGGATTTGTGGTTGACAAAGTGGCGCTGGAGCGGGTTTTCTCCGAGTACTTCGGTTTCCCCTGTCAATCTTCATTCCACCAAATTCTCCATCATGATCACCCGAGACAGGCTACAATAGGCCAATCAGTGGCGGCTGTGCCGAGTGGACTCAGTTGGACTCCACCCCCCACTAAGCTGATTAAAAGAAGAAGTGAAGCCGGACCATGGCTACGTGACCATTCATTTACATTCTATAACACTTATGTAGACAAACCTCCATTAACGGAAAGTGCGGATGCAAGAGGAAATAAAGCAACAGCGACTCCACATTCACACTTTCACTAGAACCGGTATACTTACTGCTCTCACTTTCCTGTACACACACTGGAGAAGGCACTGAAACATAAATATGCACCATCATATTAGTTGCTACAGAGTCCCTTCCTGGCTAGAGAACTTCACGGTCCAAACCTGAATAAGTAAATGGATACAATCATTAAGTACACATAATTAAGTAGTGACAGTTGGGTAGACATTTACTTTACATTATACATTTTTTGCATTAAGGTGCATGATGCAAATACTGTCCATGTATTTCAGATTCGAAATTATTTATGGGTCTACATTGAAAATTTTCTGGCAATTTTTGGGCAAGTTCTTATTAGATGCTAAAGGGTTCTGACGATGGTGGATGACACACATAATTACTGGGGTTTTGGACTTTTTCCATCGTCCGGAATTTTAGGTAATAGAGGACACGACGTTTCGGAAAATGGATCTGTTTCCGTCTTCAGGTGAGAAAGGAAGACACCTACTCACTGGTCCAGTGATTGAGATTAGCTCTTTCTAAGGGGCTCAGCTGAGTAGAGCAGAGTACTTCGGTTTCCCCTACCAATCTTCATTCCACAAATTGCTCCACAATCACCCTCACCTATCATCTGGGGCTGATACAATAGGCCAGAAGTGGCCGCAGTACAAGGGACTTAGTCCCACCCCACTAGCAATAAAAAATATCTCCCCTTACAGGACTTTAATGAAGCCACATATTTTCATATAATTGAACGTGTAGAGCATGCCACCAAGGACATCCCACCATTTTATATTTTAATTTTCGAACATCAAAAGTACAAACATGTCGAACATGCAAATTTCTGAAGTGGGAGATAAACCAGCTGCCTTTAATATGGGTTCTTGGTACTGTGTGCGCTGACATAGCTTCAAAAATATGAACTTTTGGGGTATCAGACTATGTGAAACATCGTATTCATATGAGAGATTTTTAATAATCTTAACTGATCAATTATCCAATGAAATTTAGCCTAAAATATTTCATATTGTAACGTGTTTTGCCACGGAAGACGCCGTTCAGATTGTTAATTGGTTTATTTAACAACCTACAAGTCTTGGCTACAATTAGTTATAACACTCTTACGGGTTTACACAATTTACAACCCTACACAATAATCTGTCCACACTGTCCTCAGTAGCCTACACGTATTCACAGTACGATACGGGAGCTATACCAGTGTCACTGTATTACACACTCCCAATTATTTCTCTTGTGAGCCAAGCATCTGCTTCTCAGGCTATCACAAACTATCACTGCTTATCAAACACGCGTCCGGTTCTTCTTTCCGCGACTGCTGCTAAATTCCAACTGTCTTCGGCGGCTGCTACATTTTAACTCGCTTCGTAGGCTGCTACTCTTTAACTGACTTCGTAGGCAGTGTAGTTCTCTTATAAACCCTCAGCCGGACAACGGGAAGACGCCTTGCTTCCTTGCTGCCTAGTCGCGTGTTTACCGGATTTGCTGGGCTTAGCTGCCGGGAGATGTTTACGACTACGTAGAAACTGCGGCGTCCCGTGTTACGTCACTGCAGGGAAAGGGGTGTTGACTGGCCTATTACCGTAACAACGGCAACGCTCCGAAAGTGTTACGTCACCGCTGGCGGGGTTGGGAAAGGAGTATTGACTTGTCTGTTGCCGTAGTAACGACAGCGCTCTGATGCCAAGTCACCGCTGGGGAGGAAGGGGGGTGTCCTCCATAGCGCAACACGTCACAATATATTATCTCTAAGTAATTTATAGATCCACATACTCCCCCATACGCCTTCATGTCCTAGTACTTAACTAGTTAAGCACAGGAACAACGCTGCCTTTATCCTTTACCTTTTATACTGCTTCTCTTTAAAGGAAGAAGCGGTATAAAGGTCACAAACCAAGTTGGTTCTAGATTTTAACAAAGTTTTTAAACCATACTTGTAAATAAACTGATTACAATATTTTATAAAGATTTTAATAAATTGAGACACATGACTGTAATTGTTAAAGGCTAATATTTTATATGCATGATATTGTAATAGTATTGGCTGCATGTACAGGTAACGACCGATCACACTGTAATACTAGTTTCCACATGTATTGATATATCCTTCTGAAGATGGTCTCTCCGACCGAAATATATCAAGGTTGAAAGACTAAAAAGGAGAAAAAAATACTTATCAATCACACTGGAAGGAGTTGATAATTTTTCATATCAGAACATTTTATGTAAAAAAGGAACTACATGTATATATTAAATAGGCAGCTATGGATAGCCGACAGTGGGTAGTCCTTCAGGTTGGTGGTAGGTTATGTCACAAAATGTTATACAGAGATTCGGACTTCGACATATTCTTGAACATCCTGGGCAACGGGATATCATGTACAAAAGAGGAGCCTATTTATAACCTCTTCATTATGCTGCATACATGTGTGAAAGCTCTCTTATTTTCGAGAGGGAATCTTTCTCCTGATCATTGTCGTAATGGCAGTTGTCCTTTCGTTAAAATAATTTTAACACCACCGCACTGGTAGGGTGCAACTTACCCCAGCAATTCTTCGCTCATCATCAGAAAAAATCTGACGCTTTTTCCTTGCAGTCAGCAAGGCAGTGGACTCTTCCAAGTCATCCAGGGCTTCTGCACAAAAACAAATTATTTAATCTGCACGTTTATACCATATATGGTACGGGGTCTTTCTTAAAAACTTGGTATTATATGAGTGCACAGCGATGAATACATCTACTTTTATGGAATACGAAGTTTTATCAAGTTGAGGTAACCTCGACAGCAAAACTATTTTGAGGCAGTTGTATTACTCTACCTTCCCACCCAGCATACTTATTCAGAAATCTGCTTCAATGTTACCTCTAATCTACGTCTAGGTCTCCTAATTTATTGTCTTTCCTTCAGGTTTTAAGTTTGTACCTTCTACATGTATCGTTTCCTTCTCGTTTATTTGATCACCGCAATAATTCTCTCTCTGCTCTTGCTCCCACTTTGGAGTATACGGCTGATTTCTCAGTTTATTGATCATTTTTACATAAGGTAGCACGCCTTGGACGGGTGATCAGCTCTTCGCAAGGCCTCTACCTAAACACAGGACAACACAAACACAGAATAAACGCATACACACACCAAAAATCCATGCTTTGTGTGAGATTCAAACCCACGATCCCGACTTCAGAAAGAGCGAAGACAGTACATGCCTTACACCGCTCGGCTACCGTGACCGGCGTAATAATATTAGAAGCAGGTTATAAAATATGGATCTCCTAAAGTTGTTATTTCTCAAGTCTCGTAACTTATTCTCTGTAAATTCTTTGGTCCAAATATAATTTGTCTTTCTTCAGAGTGACAGATCGTATTTCATATCCATACAAAATAACGGATGAGATGATAAATTTGTGTATTATAATATTTTTGGAGGAACGGGGAAGATAAAATTCTGACTTGAATAGTAGCAAACATTTCTGGAATTTAATCAACTACGTATTGATTTCGTCATATACGGTGTCTATTAATTACTTAGCTATTCGTGGAGAATTAATTATTCGTTGTGTTAAACTCGTAAGTGGCCTGTAAGACTAGAAGCAGACGAATATCCGAGTGGCACAAATCTGTCAAGGCACTATTCCAAATGACACGTTTATACTGCAGAAGAAACTTGATCGGCTTATATGACTTACTGATCTGATTCATTGTCTTTGAAAATATTTAGAAGCTGTTTCGTATGTTGTCATATAGATGCGAGACCAAAATTTGATTTACAGATACCTATATATTTCCTTTGATATTGAACCTACATTTTTAAACACCCGGTGTGGACAAATTTAAATGCGTTTAATATTCCGATTGAGTCCGCTCTGGCTTTACGGGGAAAGTGGATCAAAGTACCGGTTCACTGTCCTCTTGTGTTCAGGATAAGAATGAGACGCCAACTCCATCTTAGTAATCAAGTCTGCTCTTGAAAAGTGCGCGCTTTCAATGTCCGGTATTCATCCTGTACACCTGCAAAGGATACTCTCAGTATTGTCTCAGTTCAAATTGATTTTTAAACATATGAACGCTGTGAATTGGATTCCATGTCACTTCTACACTGAATGAGTAATTTTGTGTTTAATATTGTCATTCCGAGAAAAATAAGTCCCCTTTGGCTTTTCTTTGTTAATATAGAGCCATCCTCCGGAAAGTCACGTGTTTCCATCGGCAATGCATACCGTCCAAAAAAATTCATTCTTAACCTTACTATAACGCTGATTCAGACCTGAAGGAACCACGTTATAAGACAATGTAATTCTAAGAGATCTAACAGAAAAGTCGTAACTTTGAATTCAAGGAGTATCTTTCAAGTTTTGAAGCGAGTTTTTGTAATATACACATACAATTTAAAGGTAAGATTGTCTCTGTGTTTAACTAAGCACCACGCTATGAGGAATCTCCACCATTCTTCACCTCACGCTCCGGCCACTTTACCCCGGGAAAAGAGTCCCAGGGACCCATTGAATTGGAGGCTGTGGGTTCCAGAGCCGATCTGGACATTGTGGACAAGAGAACAATCTCTGCAGCGTCCAGACCGTCTCTCTATAGAAAACAACGAAAAGAAATATGTTCGATTTGAGATTCTCACAGCCTTGTCAATGTAGGATATTATCTTGTGGGATGTAAGGCCGTAAAGTATGGTAGTAGTTTCCCGACTTTTTGGAGGAACATGTTGTCTCTATCTTTAGGTGTGAAGGCCAAAAAAAAAGTACCCAAAAAAACGGGCGGCAAGTAAATACCTGAACATGAAAGTATATCCCTCCGAAACGTCGGTAAATTTCTACCCAACCGCACGCTATTCCATGCCAGAAGATAGTACTCTTCATACTGGAGCATTTTCCATTTAAGCCGGTTCCTGAAGTTACATAATGAGGCACGAAAACTCGTGTCGAATGTGCAAGTGAATTACCAAACCAAATAAACACGAAAATATACCATGAAATGTCTGCATGTAGGTTCACGTGATTAAGAGTTGTGAAGCCACTCATGAGCAAGAACGCGCCTGGCTCCATAAACTCATGACGTTGGTGTCTCTTGTGTTGTATAAACATATCTGTCCATTAAGCATGCCGGCATAACGGGAATGCTCTGGCGCTGTTTCTAGAAATGCCCGTTTCGTGTCTGTTCGTCTACCGTATATCTACTTTTTCATATACACAACTTCTAAACAGTTTTCGATTAAATTTGACAAGGCAATGTATGCACATACAAAATAAAATGAAGCTAGTTTAATTACGGCTTCGCGTCCGTCTACATAAATTCTACAGTACATGAAGTTCAATAGAACTAAAAATACCCTCAAAATTGCTCATAGAAAAATATGTGCAGGTGATTAAATATAGATTTCATTTAGATCTGCTAATTTACTTTATTGCGTACATGTATGTGGGAGCCGGGATAGTGCATTCGGTATAGCGACTGTCTACGGGCTGGACGACAGAGGGATCGGATTTCGAGTCCCGGTAGGGTCAAGAATTTTATCTTCTCCACGTCGTCCAGATCGGCTCTGTGGACGACCCAACTTCCTATCCAATGGGTAACGGGGGCTCTTTCGCTGGGGGTAAAGCGGTCGGGGCGTGAAGCTGACTACTCATCTCCAGCTAGTGCCGAGGTCAAGAGACTGTGGATCTATACATCAACTTCCCCATACGCCTTCATGGCGTAGTGCTTAATTAGTTACGCACAGGGACAACTTTACCTTTTACGTGCTTGCATGTAGCGTATACTTGGCGAAATACGTAAGGAAAATGTTAAATCCCTCTGCTCCTCAATGTTCCCAGCCATGGACGTGTATGTAATTCTACGTTATCGAATTTTATTTAACACTCTCTTCTGCCGCGAGAATTCAACCTAATATTGCTAAAACGAAGGACAGGAAGAAATGGAAATATATCCGCCACAAACATCACGGTCATAGTAAAGCGCAAATTAAAAAAATATAAGAACATGTGTTCCATTGTTTAAAGCTTTCCACTGTTACCTCTTCCATATACTGGTACTGCGAAATGTTTGCCACATGTGGTTCAATTCAATCCCGGAAATATCAAGCAATCGGCCAACCTACAGAACAAGTGTTAAATTTTTCCATTTCTGTGTCCGTAGTGACTATACACTTCACTACTGAAGTGCGCTGTGTTACTTTGTTTAGATACGAGACGTCTTAACTATTACTCTTGAACTTTTAATGCTCCAGTGTAACACATATAAACACATATATATGTGATAAAATATAATCACACATATATTTCACCACCTTTACATGTTTCGGCCCATATGCGTCAACTTCATTTTAAATTGCGTCTTCTGAAGACGTCCCATATGCCAAATCAGTAAAATGTTCATACATGTTACAATGGATGGTGGGGCACGCGGTAGCGTAGTGGTTGAGGCACTATGCTACAAGCCGGAACGTCGCGGGTTCAAGTCCCGATGAGATCATTGGATTTTTTCAATTTATCTAATCCTTCCAGCCGCACTATGGCCCTGGGGTTCACTCGGGCTCTAACAGAAATGAGTATCAGGAATTAATTAAATAATTTTCCTGGGGAATAAAACACGGCCAGCGCATAAGGCTGACAAACTTACCGACATCTTTGAGCCCATTGTCTAGATAATGTGGGACCCTCAACGTCTCACAACCCTATGGGCCTTCACGGCCTGGTACAGGGATAGCTTTACTTTACTTTACTTTACTTTTACAATGGATGGTACCCTTACTAAGATTACTGCTGTGTTACCTTTGCTCCTTGGGATACTTCCTGACCCTGTGACCAATGTATACATTACATAACATATTAGTGGACCTGAAGTGAGAGTGAAAGAGAGATTTCTTTTGCTTGTTAATTTATCGATTTTAAAGGAAAATCATAAAGAATATTTAGCATGACCATAAAAGGAACCAATGGATGGACAGAAATTTAAATGTGCAGAACGGTACAAAATAGTCTTGAAATGTAAGAATATGGCCAGGTTAAACTTGGTTGGTCATGTATAAGTTAATATAATTTTGTTCTGTTAAAAAAAATGCTGCAAGTTATGACAGGCTTGAAGGAGGAGCCAATTTCACACGTTTTCCGACATTTTCCATAGGATTCACTTGAAACTGTAAGATAGGCCGCGGCCGACTAAGCCCGAGAATCGGCGGTAATAGAAGGTGGTGGACATGAGGTATCGAACCTTTGTTTTTGCAGATACTTGCCTTGAAGAATAGCGAGTTTTATTTCGTCCTGGCATTCAGCGATGACTTTCTCGATCCTGTGAGGTGCTACGGCAGGTGACTGGCATCTTTTCTGCTTGATAATAAAAATCATCGATTGATAACAGTTTCCAACAACATTTCGGTGATTAAATAAGTGTAGCAGGGTTACTGAAACTATTTAATTAGAACTGGCGCCAAATTCTTCTGACGCGTCCCAATTAAAATATACAAAAAGCAAACTGCGTGGCCTGTAGTCTGCAAGCGAACTATAGCGACCGAACGACAGCTGCTTGTTGGCGAAATTAGTGCCAACTTTTGCGGATAGGGGGTGTCACGTGGTCAGCACAACGGACCCCCCCCCCTCACGAGGCTCAGTGAACCCCGTTCCAGACCCAGTAATTCTCAGAAAATCTGGTAGCGCTGGGAATCGAACACGGACCTCTGGATCTGTAACCAGGAACTCTGACCACTAGACCACAGAGGCGGTCATTAAAATATACACTACTTCGAAAAATATATGCGCAATTTGTATATCTGTCGTACATAAACAGAATTTTATCACCCAGTTCACCTCTGACCGTTGCCGAAGAGAAGCTCCACACTATTCTTCACTCAGTGCTTCTTGTATAGAGAACAGTGAGAAATATCCTAACCGTATATGAAAATTAACGTACAGTAGTCTTACCTTGGGGGCAACTGCGCCCTGACTGGAAGATATCAAGAAAGTCGAAGATATTAAAGTCACTTGAATCAAAATATGCCAGACGGACATGTCTTCAAATTGCCCAGACGTCCGTTCAGGTAGAGTTCGTCACACAGACTACGTCTTGTGTCGTCCTCTAACAAAATCTTACGTCACGTCAATTCTTCCCAAGAGACCGTACAACTCTCTACAAGTACGAATAACGGTCCGTATACGGCAGCTTACTGTTCGGTACAGAAACACTGTGTGCCGCACAATTGAACACTTTCATATTGGCCGCCAGACTACCAACCTTGCGTCAAATATCGGCTTCTTTGGATTACCACAGTATATTTTCCAAATACGTTTTTGTTATTCTGCATACCATATTGCCCTATTTTTCTGATATAAATGTTGCGGCCAGTTTCGTTAGACGTTCGATTTATTGAAAAAAATATTCGAAACGAAATGCGTAAGTTTGAGTCCGTTATATTCTGTGTATAAATGTTTGTATGATGAGCCTTTTTTAGAAAAAAAAAGGTAAAATTTCCCTTTTTGGATTTATATAAAGCAGATGAGAACAAAAAATAAATTCTAGCCAGCTTCAGTGTAGATCATCAATACCAGACTTCACCAGAATTTTTGGAGTAGTTTCGGAGGTAACGTGTGAGGAGAGACAGCTAAAGATGTTCATAGAGTAGCCACGTTCTAAATATTAATATATAAAAATGTTTTTGAGTTACTTTTGGTATATGCTTATTTGTCTCCATAAAAAACATGTGCTTAATTCCAAAGGATCATTGCGTAAACCATCAAACAGAAAGATTAATAGCTATTAACAGAATTCGCATGAAACCCTTGTCATTGTTTTGTGTTAAAATGAAGATTACAATCTTCCTTGGTGTGATGCCGTGTTCTCATAGACATGTAGCAACATTTCAGAACAACCTGCTGCCTTAATCTTCAGATCATTCTACTACCCTGAAAGAGGTAGCAGCGTATTCCTCCAAAACGTTGGTATTTATCAAACAACACGAAGTCACATTCCGAAAGAAAGGAATCTTCTTGAGTACGGCCGTGTAAACCTCAAATCTCACATTGCAAATAAAGATCGCCGTAACACAAAATGTCTTATATTTTTAAAGAGTGTGTTAAGATACAAAATTTTGGATATTTATATTAAGTAGAATTAATAACGCTCCACCATAGAAGCCAGCACGGCACAGATGTTTGTGGTGTTCGTTCATTGGTATGGTAGCTTCTAAGTTATTGTGTTTATTACGCGTTTCAAGAAAACCCGTCAGCTAGTTCAGAAAATTTTTGAGGACGAACACATAAGATTTTATAAATTCAGTAAAGTAAACTAAAATTGTTCTGGTGCAACCATAGTCCGCCGTGAAACAGCCACAATTAAAACTGCTGCCCACTGTTCTAGTCTGCAGGCACCTGCTCATGCTGGTTCCTCGCTCGCGGTTTTTCTACCCTGAAGATGGAGGCGATACCTTCCTCCGAAACGTCCGTTCACACAAGATCTACACAGCGCCACATCCCAGAAAACGGCATTCTTCATAGTCACCGCCGTGAAAACCTCAATTCTTACCATTTATAACATGTTTTAATATTTTTTCCGGGGGCTTCCTAGTCCCAAGTACAAACCCCCCCACCCCACTGGAAAAAAACATATTGTCAGTTATCCGCCACTGCTTATTTAACGCATTGACATCTATGCTCCATGGAGTTAGACAGTTTCTTCAGTCTGCGATCTCAAAATGGTCCACTTCATATGCAGCTAAACCGTGGTCTTTACACAACCAAAATGAACGGCTAGCATATCCCAAAATCGCTATTAATTTTAACCGTCTCCGTTCCATGAACAAGAGCACTTGCTCATAGTCACCGGATGTGGGTATTTCCCCCCCCCCCGAAAATATGAGCGAGAATAAATCCTCTTACCACTTCTCTACAGTTATAATTAATTACTTGTAACTTTAAGTGAAGTTGCAGTTTGCATTGGAAACGTGAAAACCTTTGAAGTGAACATGGCACAGAAAAGCTTAAGAAGTAATGTTTCTTGTCAGGATAGTATATCCAGATCCACCAGTACCTTGCCGTTTGACCTGGATACAAACTGCTTATAGTAAGAGTGAGAGTGACTGTCCCACCATCCATGTGCTTCTTAGACAACCTGTGGCCAGCGCGATAATTTGGTCCATTGCTAGTAGATGAAAATCGAACCTGACCTGACTATATACCCCTTAAATTAGGAAAAATTAGACATTACTGGAACAAGGTAACTTACAAAATACAATATCTTCCACAATATACTCGTACAACCAATTTAAAATTTCAATGACACGGAACGCTGTTGCTTGATTGCATATTTCATGTCATTCAGTGATATCTGTATTAAAATGCATTTCAGCTTACTTTCCCTAGCGTAGTTGGTTGAGGCATTATGCTACAAGCAGGAATGTCGCGGGTTCGATTCCCGCACTTTAATAGGCTAGTGGAAGATGCATCCTTCAATACGCATCTTCACATGAAATTTCAAGCTCCGCCGCATTACAGAGGTGAAATGCGTCAATGACTGTCCAAATATTATCTTGGACACTGGATTGGTCGCAGTCTTGAAGCTCCTTGTTTCCTGGCCTGCACGTTCACCTGACTGGACTTCTCTAGATATTCTTTAGGGGGGTAGTGGTTAGAAACTAAGTTCTATATCAGTAGAATCGATACCTGAGACTTCCTTTTCACGCAGAGCTGAGTCGTGTGCCCATGGACATGGAGGCCATTTCGAGCACATCTTGTAAGAAAGTAAAAACGAAAAGGTTATTCATAGCTCTTTTGTTTTTCTTCTTATACATAATCGATCAAATTTGGAAAGTATTTAAGGCATAGAAGTTTCCATTAGAATAGCTGTAACTTTTTAACTAAAGCCCTCAGGGTACTTATTCATACACGCTTTTTTATTTAGTCTGATGTTCAGAAACAAATCTGTAAAATATGGCCTGTGACAAGACACTCTGTAGAATAAATGAATGAACAATCGACTTCAAGGTTTCACTACTCACCGTTAATGAACATACTCAAAGAATATTAGATATATATTAATTCAAAATAATGCTCCAAAGCCCTGTTGCAATAAATCGCCAAATTAGAAAAATTAAACAAATCCGATTTTAATGCAGTCTGAACTAAATAATTTTACGTTTTGTCTTAAAAGCTGAAACTATGGAAACTACTGAAGTATTTGCTGTGTTGCAGATGTACCTGATAATATAGAGACTTTGGTAGCAAAATAAATTATATTTTAATTACACATGTATTTATGTACATTTACAGATGGGAGATATTACCCACAGTAAGGTAATCTTGGAGGCAGAGCATTTTCTCTTTGCCATAATGTCTAAAGCAGGAATGTAAACGGCTTTTCAGAACTAGAAAATCGCTCCAGATACGTATAAATTCTTGGAGATAAAACCAACACTTATTAAAGGGAAAACATTACTATGTAGGCTCATAAATTTATTCCTGCATTTATCGATCTCTATTGTGAACGATAATTGTGTTGTCTCACGACTCTTGAAACAACCACCTCAAAATTAATCCTTCTAGAACCACATATGTCTAGCATCAAGCCTGATATTATATTTAAGCATCCTGTTGCACTCTATATGATATATGACATAAACAACGTCACAAGTGCAACAATTTATTGTAGTTCTTTTGTCTTGCTCTCTTCTACACTACATGTTTCGGCCGCAAACGGCCATCATCAGGTGTATACACTTACGTAGCTGTTACACTGCACTTAGTTTAAATTTAAAACCACGAGTCTTCCCAATTGTTCTTTTCGTCGTTACTAACAGGTTTCGATTTATTAGAATATACTTCGCTGATATCTGTCTGCTTTGTGCATTATCTTTGTTGCCTACACTCGTCAATTTTGATTATTATGAACTGGCACTTTTAAAATCTTCAGTTCTAATTTAAAATTCTTTTAAAAATTAAAATTCTCAGGGTTACTCGCCCTATGTCTGTAGTGCTGCAGCGGCTACTTCTTGTTTTCAGCGCTGTTATTCTGTGTAGGCTCCCTGTGTCCGGCCGCTGCTTATCTTTACTACGTGTGCACGCACACAGGGAGCCTACACAGAATAACAGCGCTGAAAACAAGAAGTAGCCGCTGCAGCACTACAGACATAGGGCGAGTAACCCTGAGAATTTTAATTTTTAAAAGAATTTTAAATTAGAACTGAAGATTTTAAAAGTGCCGGTTCATAATATCAAAATTGACGAGTGTAGGTAACAAAGATAATGCACAAAGCAGACAGATCTCAGCGAAGTATATTCTAATAAATCCAAACCTGTTAGTAACGACGAAAAGAACAATTGGGAAGACTCGTGGTTTTAAATTTAAACTAAGTGCAGTGTAGCAGCTACGTAAGTGTATACACCTGATGATGGCCGTTTGCGGCCGAAACATGTAGTGTTGAAGAGAGCAAGACAAAAGAACTACAATATATTACAACTCTTTAATGAACCGTCACAACACAGCAAATAGTAAAACATCAAAGTCAGCGTACAGCTGAGGCAGCATTACACAGTAAGTAATAACATATATTCTATACTATATCTTCAATGGTAAATCATTTAATTATAACAAAAGTTAACATTACTACTTTTATATTATTTTCAGATTCATTAATTGCTACACCATGGGCCTCTCTTAAAATCTTCTATATAAAGTAATATCGAATTTCCCTATTGTCTATGGAAACGCACACAAAGTATATCTAACCACTGATTCAGTGTTTTTGAAAACATCATTAATATTTTATCTTGTTATAATACTTCCAATTTTTAATTTTTATATAATCTGAACTTTTGTATTTTTTACATAAGCAATTTTAAAATTGTACCATTAATAGTGTTATATCCATTTTATGGTTGCAGTTAAATGGTAAGATTTTTGTTGATATGTATTTGCCTGATGTTGGCCGATAGTGGCCGAAACATGTAGCAAAGCCACAGCTGTACGCTGACTTTGATGTTTTACTATTTGCTGTGTTGTGACGGTTCATTAAAGAGTTGTATATTGTAGCACATCAGGATGCATGAAATTAAGATTGCAATAAATTGTTGCACTTGGGACGGTGTTTATGTCAAATATCAAGCCTAATGTTTGGAAATTTACTTCTACACCCACCATATACTTTT